AAACTTTGGTCGCAATAAGACAAGAAAAAGCACCGAATCTCATTTACATGTAAGAGCAAAGCACTTGAAGTGTGTGTCCAATAGATATGCTTCACCGTAAAAAGGTGAAATAGAAGGTTCAGAAGAGAAAATTCACCGACATGAAAACCATTGTCGGAAAGAATGCACGATCGAATGGCGAAGAAAGATAAGGAAATGCAAGGTAATTGAGAGGAAGTTTTGGTCTTTTTGACTGTTACACCGACCACCAAAATTCCTCCGAGCGGACAATGTCATCTCTGATAGTCTCTTGTTCTGGCTGCCCCTTCTTACCTACGCTTCCGAAACAATGGAGTTCACAGGACTTACAGCAGTACGCCTGCACACCCCTAGCCTATCACCCGGGTGCTAGTCGGCTCCTTTTAATAGACACAGACGACGTACATCTCTTCTTATCTTGCCGTCACCTGTATGCACCACAGCCGTTCACACGAGTCCATCTCCGTCTGTCTCCACAGCATCGATGATGCCCATGGGCCATTTGTCACGTGTTGTGCTTTCAGATGCTATCAATACGATGTCTCCTGATTTGAAATTGCGACGCTTCGAAAGCCACTTTTGTCGTACTTGCAGGGTAGGTATATACTCCCTCATTCATCGACGCCAGAAGTTATTAGCAAAGTGATTGACTTGCCTCCACCGTCTTGTATAACTCTCCATTATTGTGAGACCCTCTAGGTTTTGATCGTTCCCCGTCAACAACAATAAACTGTTCGGAGACAATGCTCTTCTTTCCTTATCATCTGATAAGCACGGCACTAGCGGTCGGCTATTCAATATCTTTTCGATTTATACAAAACAAGTTGACAACGTTTCCTCATGCATCGACTGCTGCTTTGTCAACACAAACAGTAACCTGCGCACGGAGCGGATCATTCTCTCCCATACGCCCCCCACATGACTTGAGGAAGGAGGGTTAAAGAACCATTTAATCCTATCACATGCAAGACGATCGTTAATCTTTTGTCCATCCCAGCTTTTAATTGTATCCTTTAGTTCTGATGCGGCACCCACGAAATTTGATCCGTTATCACTATATATCTCTGAAGGTCTTCCTCGTCTACCGATGAATCTCAATAGACGCAGGATAAACGAATCTGTCTTGAGACTGCCCGCTATCTCCAAGTGCACGGCTCGGGTCTGTAAATAGGTAAATACGCAGTCATATTTCTTTTCCGAACCACGATCCTTGCGAACAAACAGAGGTCTAAAATAATCCGCTCCTACTGAGTTAAAACAGCACCAACCCTTGTGGACCCTACATTGTGTTTAGAAAGTGGACACACCTGCCTGGTTAGCATGTGCCACGGAGTTGAGGCAAATGAAACAGATGAAAACCATATTGGAAACATTTAGATTAGGGAGGAAGAGGTCACAATACTTCTAAGAGGATGTACTAGAATTTATTGCGTTCCACAGATGCAGCTTTGAAGCTGAATCCGTGTACGTATTTTGCGAAGTATGATTCGGAGTTAAGATTAAGCTGAATACATAAAAAGACAGAAATAAGCAATTTAAATTTGATATAGAATCATATGATCATACATATGATCATATGATCATGCTTATCCATGATTCACGGGGCTTCGTGAAATATACCTTCATTATTATATTCATCATTAGGTATGGTTGACAAAATAAAATTTCAGTTTCGAAGTGAAGAATTTAGGGTTTGGAAATTATTTACTAAACAATCTTCATTTTCGACGGAAAACTTCACATTAATCATTACAGGATGGTCAATGCTCACTTTTAACGAAGAAAAATAACAGAATAACCCCTAACAATGGAGATATTTGCGATCTACGACAGTGGTAGAATGGCAGCCTTGTAATATGCCACCAGGTGCAACGAGGAACGACACGGCTTGAGTAGTCAATGCCTCACGATACCACAGCACTCAGAAGAAGACAAGTGAGTGAAGAAGCGTCTATTTTACTGGAAACAATGTGTGTATAATAAAACTGTTCGTGGATATATATAGGCTAAATTTCCGGGGGAAACACAGCAGCCAATCAGAATTCTCTGGGTTTTCCATAGGTAGCTCGGTCGGTCCTGATTGGTCTATCCAACTCCTCAGCCTGGAGATGATTTGCTCCGACTGCATGACCTGTGCGAGGAAAAGGGTGAAATGAAAGTGGTTGGCTAAACAATCAAGTTGGTTGCCTCCAGTCATCCACTGCACGACTCCCCTCCTTCTATCACAGCACTGTCCTCAGTGCGGCTCCGACGCTGCCCTCAGCTGGTACCTCACAGTCCTCTGCTATCACTAACCCTGCATGGGCCTCCTGTTGCACCGCAGTCCTGTCTGGCCTGAGACGATTAAAATGCACTACAAATGCTCGTTGTGATGGTCTTTTGATCAAGCGGATGTAACACGTGCAGTCTGAATCAATCTCATGTACCTTTTATGGTCCATTTCATTCTCTGAAGAACTCCGCCGGCATTCCTGGAGTCGGTATTCGCGTCCATAGGCAAACACGATCCCCTGCTCTTACTGGTGTACCGAATGCCTTTAGTTCTTAGTAT